CCAATTAAGAATTTTAATTCTAAATGGGAAAGAAAATTAATTTTGGGTGAAAGAGCACCAGAATCTAGGCTCGGACGGTTTTGTTGTAACTTTGGTCTATTAAATCTAAAAATGTTCCAGCTCAAGGATGAGTTCATTGATTCAGCTCACTCGAATGAACAAACAGAAGAAAGTAAAATGAAACAAAGCCAAAGTCAGCTGCATGAGCTCAACACACCCAAAATACCCTCAGCAGAGGGAGGACCCCGGAGCCACCACACCACAGTGCTGCCAGGAGCTCATCCTGCAGCAGCTCCATTACCACCTGCACGTGACTTGGGTCATACTTCATCTTCTAATTGATATCTGCCATTGCCTCATAACTAACGATGACTAATGGTAATCTCTAGAAAGACAAATAAAAGCTAATGCAGAGCCGCTCTGTGGTGCGGTTCCCTTTGGAAAGCTCCCGGGCCATTAGGAAGCAATTGGAAGTGGAGATTGATGTGCCCTGGGGGTTGCTCCCGGGGATGCGGCGCATCTCCAAACCCCCGGGGCCCAGGGGCAGCTCTCCCACTGCGCTGTTCCAGAGCAGGGCACGATTCCCAACCCTCTCCAGCCGCACTAGCCAGGGGCACATCGGAGTACAGCCAGGCCATGGCACCTCACTGGGTCTGCCAAACACAGTCCAAGATATCCAACCACACTGAGGTGCATCCACTAACGAAGGCAACATTCCACAGCCATGATACCTCTTTTTCTATGTTTCACGTATTTTTACTTATTTACCCACAAAGTGTGACTTCTTGGATGCAAAATAGCAAGGAATTAAATTGCCAAGTGCTGCAAACAGACAGTGTCAACAAACACATCAACAGGTAGCACCTCGTACACACAAAAGCAGTCTCATTTTATAGCAGCGTGATTAAACATGCTGATTTTTCATAAGACTCATATACAGCATTTCAGAAAAGTTATGCTCTTTTAATTACAAAGTTTATGTCACCCGGTGCAATTTTAATGTAATAAAACATTAAACTGGACCTCATGTCTGATATAAGATAAAATTATTCATTGAATATTAGACCAGTAGGCCACCTACTGTTCTTTTACAAATGGTTGAACTATCACGGGGTTACAGAACTTAACATGTAAATTGCAGTAGAAGTTATAATTTCTGTTGCAAATCCCAAAAGACTGTCATTTAAGTCAAATATATGAGTGAAATTTTGCCTCTGTGCCATAATAATGCAGGGAAAATGACCAAAACCTGAACATTTTTAAAGTAATTATGAACCCAATAATAATGCATTTTTAGTTATTTAATCAAGAGCGTTAAAAATTATTAATAGCAAGTTCTTCTTATAAAAATGGAGTTTTAAACACTGGCATTTAATTTTAGGGATAGCAATACTTGATCTAACCCATTAGTGAGATCTTTTGTAAAGCCAAGCAGCCTGTGCCTTTCAGAGCAATTCCTGTTCGTCTTTGACTTCATTACTCTCACATAAGCAAGAACAGCTTTATAAAATAATCTTTCTTAAAGTGAATTTAATATTTAGCTGCACACTGGAAATCTGGAGTAAGTTGAGTTAGATTAAAAAAATTGGGTCCTGAAATCCCCACATAGAGCAGATTTGCATGGATCCTGCTCAGAAGCCCTTTCAAATCCACGGGATCGTTTCCCTTCATCCCCAAAGCCTTCGGATCGGGTGTATAAATAGGAGAGGGCAGTTGCAGGGAAATTATTCACAGTGCCTGAGCTTGCCTCGCAACCACTGCCGAAGAGGAATCTGAGCAGTGACTGTGCATCACCCTGAATCTGTAATAATAGCACCTTTCCTGTCACTCTTTGTCCTTTCATTTTTAAACGTGATTGGGTCAGGAGCAGGCAATTTACATTTTTATATAATCTTTGCTCAGGTGATTCAGCCACTCTGACGTTTGAGCATTTTGTGTGCAGCTCCGGGTTACACCTCCCTCCCGGTGCATTTCCATATGCTGGGGGTCTGCCATCCTCGCAGCTGATACAGATCTATTTAGCTTCTCCCCCTTGCCATACCTGCAGCCTGTAGCAGGTTGTCAGGGAATGAATTTTCATTTTCTCCCCCGTGAGTCCATCACGTGGCTGTCACCAGAATTTGCTCTGTCTGAACTCCTCCATCCCCCTGATTTATGGCTGGTTGATGAGAGGTTGGAGGGCTCTCAGTGTAGCAATAATCTGCACCTTGGTCCGGCACCCATCTAAAGTTAGGATTTCTGATCTAAATATTTAGTCCCCGTGGCACAGCAATCATTTACCAAATTATTAAATAACTTTTTGTCGGACTGAACACCTTTGGGATATTTTTCTAGGTCAATATTCATCAGGAGACCCCGAATGTAAAGGTTAAGTGCACATTTCCTCTGCCAAATAAGAATGAATTTCAAACCTGATTGATTCTGGTCATGGAAACCGTAAATACTTACTCCAAATGGTGGATAGGTTACTAAGTCCACTCATTTCCACATCTGATATCGATAATACTCTGCTTCCCCCTTATCAGCCCCTCTCATATTTCACCGGCGTGAGCGGCGCGTGGGGAACCGGCCGAGCCTGTCGGGGCTGGCTGATGGCCCCTGCCTTCCCCCTCGCCATTCTTCAGTGGTCCTTGAATCTTTCACCCCTGTCACTCCTCTTTCATCATTATCTGAGGTGATCGGTCAGCCCTGTGCCACCACCTGTCTCTTCGATCCGATGCCAACAGTGCTCCGGAAAACTGTCACTCCAGAGCTCCTTCCATTTATAGTGAGTCTCATTAACACCTCTCTTCCCTCTGGCCATGTGCCACTACAATTTAAGATGACTGTTGTTACTAAACACGCACAAAAAAATATGTTAAAATAGCGTTCAGAGCCTGATTTAAATCTATTAAAGCCTGACAATTTGGAGTTAAAATCTCCCTCAGTGTCTGCGCATGGTTAGGGGGGTGCATATATTTGATATTAATGCATTTATACCTGTATAAATACATACAGATATGAATGTATTCCCCCGCCCACGGTTTCCCAGCATTGCACCTCGTCTGGGAACAAACGCCGCTGCCGGCCCCCAGACACAAAGCCCAAGTAAAGAGGATTTATGCCTGGGACATAAAGGCAGCTGCGGGAAGGGAGAGGAGTGGTGGCAGATCCTGGGGAGACTCAGGTCCAGAGCAATGCTGCCTCAGTGGCCCTGATCCCCCAGACATCCCTGCCTTGCCATGTAAGCATGGGAGTAATCCTGTTCCAGAGGAAAACACGTACAGATTAACCCCACACCTTTTTTCTTTTACCTTGATTTTTCTGTCCCCGAGCAAATAATCCCTTGATAATAACTACAGTCCCAGAGCACTTCCTGGGAAGGAGACTACAAACTCATCTAAGATACCTTCACAATAAAAATTATTTCAAGCTTTTAGGCACCCAAAATTGTTTTAATGATGAAATTATATGAACAGTATCAGTGGTGTGGACAACCTGTGTCAGGGGATGTTTAGGTTGGATCTCGGGAAAAGATTCTTCCCCCAGAGGATGGTTGGGCACTGAACAGGCTCCCCAGGGCAGCAGTCACAGCCCCAAGGCTGACAGAGCTCAAGGAGCATTTGGACAACAGACTCAGGGACAGAGGGGGATTGTTGGGGTGTCCTGGGCAGGGCCAGGAGTTGGACTTGATGATTCTTGTGGGTCCCTTCCAACTCAGGATATTCTGTGATTCTATGAACCTCTGAGCTGTGCAAGTGTGTGGTAAATAGTTTGCCACTCTGTTTGTATAATTTCAATCCCTTTCAAGAGTTACATGAGTTTTCAAAGACTTCATATGGTTTTAACTGACAACTGTTTTCACTGCAATACCTTCACCCTTATAATGAGTCAGGATTTTCTTCTCCCAAACTCTATGACAACAGCACTTGTTTAGAAGGTACAAATGACTAAAGGGATTGCAAAGAGTGAAACTAAAGGGTTTCTCCTCTTTTGAAGGGCCAGGCCAGCGCAAAAGTCATTTTTCACAAGCCCTACTATCAGGGACAGGCAGCTCACACATGCTCCTTGTGGGTGGACAATGTCCTTGTGGGAGGACATTCATGTGGCCACCAGTGGCACTTGAAGCTCTACTGGGGATGCCTTGGAAATACAGAAATTGGGTTTGCTGTGGGTGTTGGAAAGGACAGAAAGGCACTACAGAGGGACCTGGACATGCTGGATCCATGGAATGAGGGATTTGTATGAGGTTCAACAAGGTCTAGTTCTGGGTCCTGCTCTGGGGTGGCAACACCACCCTGAAGCACTACAGGCTGGGGGAAGAGGATATGGAAATCTCCCTGGTGGAAAAGGCTCTGGGGGTGCTGGTGACAGCAGCTGGACATGAGCCCAGATGTGCCCAGCTGGGCAAGAGGCCAATGGCTCCAGTGCCAGCCATGGTGTGTCACAGGCCCAGGGCAGGGACTGTCCCTGTGCTGGCACTGCTGGGGCACCTCCAGTGCTGGGGACAGTTCTGGGTCCCTCAGACCAGAGAGACATTGAGGGGCTGGAGCATGTCCCGGGAAGGGAACGGAGCTGGGGAAGGGTCTGGAGCACCAGGAGCAGCTGAGGGAGCTGGGGGGGGCTCAGCTTGGAGAAAAGGAGGCTCAGGAGGACCTTTTCACTCTCTGCAACTCCCTGACAGGACAGTGGAGCTGGAGGGGTTTGGGCTCTGCTGCCAGGGAACAAGAGACAGGACAAGGGGAAATGACCGTAAGTTGCACTACAGGAGGGTTAAACTGGATACTGGGAAAGCTTTTTGACCAAAGGGCTGTCCAGCCCTGGCACAACTGCCCAGGGCAGTGGTGGAGTCCCCATCCCTGGAGGGACTTAAAAGCCGTGTGGATGTGGCACTTGGGGACATGACTTAGTGGTTGCCTTGGCAGTGTTGGGGGAATGATTGGACTTGATGGTCTTAGAGGACTTTTCCAGTCTAAACAATTCCATGATTCTATGACACAACCACAGAATTCTTCAAGGTGCTTATGACTAAACATCTGTACAAGCCTTAACAATGTCTGGGGCTTAAGATGATTTCAGAGTTCACAAGTTTGTTCTGCTGATAAAATGACATTCAGAAAGCTGAAATGCAGTGTGGTTGGTAGCAGGAGGCTGTGCATTGTCACCTGCTCACATGGGCCATGGAGCACATGCATTTGGTTTTGCACATCTGAACTATTTCAATGCAATCAACCTTTTACATGCAAACTAGTGATGGCATAATTTTAATAGTCATTTCGAGAACATAGCCTAAAATGCTGTATGGTTTTTAGGAAAACTCTATTTTAAAATCAAGCAACAGGGAGGATTTTGTCTTTTTTACTGTCTCACCGCACTAAGAAGCTTAAACATATATAACACCTTCCCAATTTAAAAATAAAACATAGCACTTTTTATTAGGTTGAATTCAACCCAAGACCTCAGGTGTGATCACCCCAAACTCAGAGAAAGTACAAGAACTTGAATGTAAAGTCAAAGCTAGATTTGTGTCTTGTTTTAATATTGAGTCATGTTTAAATGTTGGACACCCAAACTTCAGTTAGGCTTAAACCAGGAAGAGGTTCTGCATGTACAAAGCTCCTGCAGATTTAGGTCTCAAGGAGAAAAGGACAAGGAGCACTAAAAAGCAAAGAGAAAACAGCCCTTTATTCCTTTTTTATTATTATTATTATTTTCTGCAATTTTGAAACAGAACAATTTCATTTTTTTTCTTTTTAAATCTACCAGACGTTTCCATACAGATTGAGATCTGGAATGCCAAGTCAGAATGTGGAGAGAATTGCTCTTGCCAAGTTACACAACATGGAAAATAAACCCTTGTAACAGAAGCACTCCTAGGAGCTGCTGCATGGCTGGGGTGCTGTAGCAGCATCCTGCAGGTAGGGTCCTGCTTTTCCCAAGCTAAATTCCCAATTTTCAGCTGTTACCTTCTTGTACACAGTGTTTACCTTGATAAGGTTATATATAGTGATGGTGCTGTTAGATCTAACACTGACCTCATTCTCTATGTTCAGGATAAATCATTGGAATAAAGTATTTCCACCTTTTGCTATTCACTGTCTCTCAAAAAGCTCCCTCAAGCGTGGATTTTGGGGCCACCTGTGCCCACAAACTCAGCAAAGCAAAGGGGGTGTACAATGGAGGGACATGAGAGTTCACTCTCACAGCAGCTCTCAAGCAATTCCCATAAATTCCATCAACAGATGGACCTGCCCATTCATTCCTTCAAATGTCTCTCTGCAAACTATGAAACTCTGGCACTGCCAATGCCAATTTTAGTACCATCTACATGGTTGCCAAGTGAAGCAGGTTGTGAAGTGTTGTGAAGCATCATTCAAAACATTCTGATTGAGAAATTCAAAATGTGGATGTCCAAACACATGATTCATATTTTTCCAAATATTTTCTTCACTTGTCTACACCTAAAGCTTATGAACACAAGCAAAACTGTTTTAGTTCTTGCATGTTTCAGTGATTTCAATGCTGAAACAAGGTAGGCTTAGATTAGATGTGAGGAAGAAATTCTTCCCTGTGAGGGTGATGAGGCCCTGGCCCAGGTTGCCCAGAGAAGCTGTGGCTGCCCTATCCCTGGAAGTGTCCAGGACCAGGCTGGATGGGGCTTGGAGTAACCTGGGTTAGTGGAAGGTGTCCCTGCCTTCGCACAGCCCTGCAGACTTTGTGGCACAGTATTAATGGTGTCTCCTCACAAAGCCCTCACTGCACAAAATGTCTTGCAGAATCTTTTGTCATATGAATGTTAGGAGTTGTATTTCTGGCCCTGAAGTTTGCTCTCAAGCTTATTGATCATGCAGTCTTGTTCTGTGACCTGGAACGTGTCTGTCAACAGCTGTTTCTCAGTCTTACAATGTCCAAAGTCGCAAAGTTACTGTCATGAGCTCAGGGACAAGTCAGGCTTTATGGCTACTCCAGAGCACTAAAGAGTATTATATTTGTCTGTTTGACAATCATCACTTATTTACTTTTGTGATGTTAAATAATCTAAATAAAGCAACTACAGATTGCTTACCAGGCTCATGATATCTCCCTGTCAAAATACAGTGCTTTTCTCATTTTTTTTCTCAGATACGTAAGAGTTTGTTAACACAAGAATGCAAGGACAAATCTTCAGCAAGGAAGGAACAACAACAGTAATTGAAGATGGTACTTGAAATTATGCTTTTGTGTTGCAGAGTTAATTTTTTAACCTAGTTTTTAAGTAGCTTCTAATTACATATGTCATAATGTAAGTGTCTCTCAATCCAGAATGAGTTTGAAATATTGACCTTGTATATACAAATCCAAAACCCCACCTAAAATTTGTCCTTATATAGGCTGTGGATAGTATTTTTAAAAGAAAATAAAATGCTTATTTGCCCTCTCTAGCTAAATCTTCAGCAGATGATCATCACGTTCCAAAAGTGAGTTGTTCTTACACAAATGGACACAAGGACAGATGGCAGGAAGAGCAAATTCCAGTGCTTCCATGAGCATTCCTGCTTCTTAGTGTTTCAAGACCAAACAACGCTTAGATGAAGGTACTTCCCTGCCTCTCCAGCCTCTTCACAGGTTTGAAAGAATAACAAAAGCAAAAGATTATGTTTGGCTCAAAATCCTCTGCTATCACAGGTCAGTGGGTTTCATGTCTCTTGGCATGACAGGTCTGTACAGTCCCTCTTTTTTGGCTCCCATATAGTGATAATAATGAATCAACATCAATTTCTATCATTAAATGGGTTATGAAGACTTTTTTTCCATAATTTCAGAAAAGACAATTTTCCAGAAAGAATTTATTTGATAGATAAAGTTTTAGGTTCAACCGTACTATAAATAATCATCAGCAATAGCAGTAAATATTTTCCACATAGCAATAAGATCCTTGTTGGCTTGACAAAAAATGCTTGTGCTCACCATGGCTCACCTATGGGCCATGAACTTGTTGAGAATAATGTTGGGAGAGTTTCACAGACCTGGTACATGAGGATGTGGAAGTCATGTTCACCACATCAAGGTCCAAAAAAATTCATACTTTTTCATTTTTCTTTTTAATTATCTCCAAATCAGATTTTTAAAAAAAAGCATATCCAGAGTCCTGATTTTTGCACCTTCCCACAGTCCATCTCAGTCTAAATTTCCTTGTTTCTCCATCCAACTGTGCATGCAGACCAGGAGTCCAGGAGGTGTTTGGGGAACTTCAGGACTAGGGGAAAAACAAAAAGACAATGCAGCAAACACAAGCTTTAATTGGAATACAGGAAGCCACTAATGGCACTGTAACATCATCCAAAGGTGTCCAAGGGTACTGTGCACTCTGGGACATCGGGGACAATCAGCCTTTCACTCTTCATTTGGTGTTTCTTGCGTATTCCACCCAAATCCCTGCTCCATAGCCATTTGTTCATCCCTGCAATGGAGCCTCTGACCTGCTGATTTGTTTATTTTTGTTGTTGATTTGCCCATCTGCTGATGTTGGTTTTGTCATTTGTTTACTTCAAGTTAATGTTTCTTTGATTTTATTGCGGAGCACTATGAGGTCCTAAATGATATGGGCATGTATAAAAATAAATGATGGTTATTTATCATTATCATTATTGCATTTGGCCAAGCCTTTAGCTCGCTAAAGATACCACTGTCTTCAGGGGCCTCTGAGACTTTGCTTTTAATCTTGGGGGGATTTCTAATTTCTAGGATATATCCCTAATAATGAGCTGCCTAGGAAAACTGTGAGCCTAATTTTCCTGGGCATCTGATGAAACATATTAATGATGACAGGTAGAAAAACCCAACCCCCTAAATCCCACTTTCCAACACAGGGTTGGGCTCTTTTTACCATTTTAATTATTGATGTGAAAAACAAAGAGCAAACAAACATTAAATTTGTGGAAGACTTGTAGAAATTCAAGCTGTCCCCAACTACAGTGGGTTAAAGAGGAGGGAATACAGTAAGTAAAGTACTTGCCTGGCACAGGGAAATGGAAGAAGGTTAACCAAGTTAATCTTCCCCTGTTTCCTCCTCTCCTCGCTCAAGGCCTCCAGGCTCAACCATCATTAGGAACCATATAATTGACTCATCCACAGGATTTCCTTTTTGTGTTCTGAATTATGGCAGATTTTCCACATTACTTTTTTCTTTCCTTTTTTTTTTTTTTTTTCAAATTTTAAACATTTGAAGCATTTAAACAGCAGGAATCCTTCCTCTACAGGTAGAAAATTTGTCCTATTAGTGAAGAGCACAGAGGCATTTCTAATTCCGGACACCACGTATTTCCCAGCACCATTAAAATCTGCTGATTAACCAATGGCCCAATGGATCTCCATGTGTTATACAGCTGTCACATCAGATGTTTTCTCTGCTACAATTGGTGTGTAATTTTGCTGGGTTTAAGTGCAGAAGGGGGGAATTTCCTTGTGATGGTACAAATAATTCATCACGGGCTATGGCTCAAGATTGTTATGAGGGAAAGAAATATCTCACAGTTATACTGTAGTTCATCCTACACCTGACAAGAGAGTGTTTGGCACATATAGTGGAAGCTTGATAAAATGGTTTAAAATCAGACACCGAAAAAGAATTGCAAAAGAAATTCTTCTTCAAAAATCATTTTGTGTTGAATTATTTCTTTTTTACTTGAAAGCCCTGTTAATACACAGAGAGCATAGCAGGGCTGCTATTAAATGTGGGCAAAAAAATCACTCATTTCGTAGTGAGACACGTTGGGTTTTTTTGTTGTTTTGTTTTCCAAACCGATTTTAAGACCGGAGAGAAGCGTGTCCTATAGCCAACAGTCTAAAACAAATGTTGGGAGCTTTGCTTCATTATGTGGTACATTGTAGTTTTATGCATGTACGCTGTGTGAACAAGAGGGTTAAAAGTTAAACAGTAGCCTAGGGCTAACACACTTGCAAGCTGAACAGGTACAAAATAGGCTTTTGTTGCTTTCAAACTATTACTGTATGTCTTTAGCAGGAAATAACAGAACGGGCATCTGTGTGCAAAAATGGATTTCCTCCCAGTTCCAGGTAGTGTGGAACGGGGCTGGTTTAATGGCTGGAATGCCCATATGACCTTTAATCCAAAGTCATAAATTTGTCAGTGTCTGAAAGTGGCAGGATATCATTGCTAATGAGGCCAGTTTTTAGGACTTTGTATATCAGGAGTAACATCAGGGAGGACGATGCAAAGGAGCCTCACGTGGGGTTGGAGGGGGGGTGGAAATCATTAAAGGGAAATAAAAGAGCGGCGTTAGAATTTCACGGAAAGTAATGAAGAAACAGCCAAACCCGGCGAGCTCAGGTTGTTCTGCATTTCATAAAATGATAAATAACTCCTAGTCATGTTTATGTATAATGAATTACAATCCCGCTCCGTTTACCTTAGTAACATTTTACAGGGGTTGTATTTTACTCCCAACTACCAATTATGTCATCATCCTGGCATTTACCTGGACGTAATGATACACAGCAAAGCCATTCTTGGAACATAACTCACTGCTTAAAAGTGTTTGTAAAGCCAGACTGCATCCTATATACTCATAATGACTTGGAGATTGCTATTAAATTTTACAGATTAAAGTTTACTAAATCTTAAAGTCTTTGCACCGCTTCCAATATTTCTTATTAATCCTAAAGGGAAAGATGTTCAGCCATTGAAATGTCAAAAACTATGTAACCCTCCCCAAAAATAGATAGAAATAACCCAAGCTAGGGTCAGGGAGCTTATTAAACAAAGACACACAACAACATAACTAATCCTGCAACTTCAGTACATGAATTTTAATGGTTAATTTGACCCATCACAGGATGTTTCATCCACAATCATTGTTGTTTTTTGTGGAAAACAGGTTGGAAGGGGCACTGAGGCTTCCCAGTGCAGGTTTCATTTCTGCAGGACTCCAAAACCTCAGTCAGAAATATCTACTGTAACATTATCTTACATTTATTCAATTTAATTTCAGTTTGAGAAGGATAGCATATAGATCTTTTTATAAGCTTGTAAGGTCACCAAATTTAAATTAAAGTGACCTCTTTTAAAGCACATTACTAAAAGTACTATGTGGAGGGAAATTTAATATGAATGGTTAAAATGCATGGAATTCAGATTTTACTGTCAAACAGCTCAATTAAACAAATTGAATTTTTAAGCAACAAAAGGGAATTGAATCAAATTAGAAACAGAGTGGGATCTGAAATGTGGACATTTATGAGTGATAGTCACAGGGCCCTCCAGCAGTGAGTTTTCTTTATTTGTTGCCTCAGCAGTTAGAGGGGTTGGCAGGCTGCAACACAAAAGGATAAAAATGTTCACCATTGAAACACAGTTTTTGGCTCCCAATAAATCATCTGTCACTTCATCACAGCCCAGTAGATAATGAGCAATAAAGTTTTCACACTCAGGCAATGAGGAAGCAGACACAAGAAATACAGCTAAAGCTGCTGTCTCTCTGTTCTGTAAACGCAAGGTGCTTTGTGGAATAAATGACCTCTGGATTTCTGGAAAAGAATAATTCCTGCCTTGGTAAAATAAACCATTTGATGCACTAAAAAAAGCCAAATCTAATAACATTACTTAGTTCCTTTAATGAAAGAAATAATCACATTATATCTATGAGCTCCAGCCATCTATAACAGGAAGAGATTCCAGGGTATTACCTCTGAAGTTGTCTCTCTATTGCCAGCAAAGCACATTGCTGAAAATACAATAAAGCTGCACAATAATTTCAAGTGGGATTGTTTGCAGAGATTCAGGAGACATTTGTGTTTGGGGCCCAGTCCTGGGAGGTTTTCCTAGCCCGACCTTCCTCACAGGGAGGGATGTCCAGCTCTTCCCCAGGGTCTTGTCACAGCACAAAGAATCTCTGAGGGTCTCCCAACAACAAGATGCAACATCATCAGGCCAAATTAATTGCAAACAGGTCTTGTCTTGACCCAGAAATTTAAAGTGTTAATTTTAACACTATTTTACCTCACCCTGATGCCTTCTCACTGTTGTTTTGGTGAATATTTTTCAGTTGTTATGCCACAATCCAACAAAAAACTGTTGCTCTTTAGTTCAAAGTGACTTTTTTTAGTTGTTTTTAAAACTGAAGTTTCAACCTGCTTTAGCTTGCTGATAATGCTGAGTATATTCATCATTCAAATTTCATATCAAAGCCATTTCAGCAAAGGTATCTTGGATGGCCACGTACAAAGTCTAGTTCACATGCAAAACATATCAGTCAAAAAGTGACAATGCGGCCCATAAACCACATAGAACATACATTGATTCATGTTTTAACTTTATATCAGCATTTGAAGGGACTTGAAGTAAAATAAGATCAGATATTCTTGTCATATGCAAATGGCAACTTAATATTTGCATAATATGTCAAGGTAGAAAAATGCAAATAAACTTTGGGAAAGTCTGTATTTTTGTCATTCTCTCATAGAGCTAATTAGCAACTTGAAAGGAAATTGAAAGCTTCTCTTTTCTGAACTCGTTGTCAGCTAAAAAAGGCACTGAACTCTGCTTATTTCTAGACCATGTAAGATGAGCAATTAACATCCCCCTCTTATTGAACTGCTTACACTGATCCATAGCCATAAAGGCTGCTTATCAGCTTCCCAGGTTGGATAAGGAGATACAAGACTGCTGGAATAGAGGTCACACAAATATAAGTGGAAAAAGAACACATTCTGCTATTAAATGGGGTAAATCCAAGCAAGATTCCTTGAGATAGATGAAAACTTGAATTTACCCCAATGCACTTTAAAGCAGGACCAAAAAACTACACAGAGGTATCTTCACATTGAAAAATGTGTGAAAAAAGTCTTTTTAGGAGCTCAAAACACATCTTAGATCACTACAGAGTCTTTATACTCCGTGTGAAGGTTTCCACTGTATTTTTTTATGATATTAAGGATGTATTATTTATACCCACTGCAGCCACGCCATGGAATACACGAGGAGAGTTTGTTTAGCAACAGAGTGAAAAAATATTTGCTACAGGGGCAGTCTGGCAATATTGCTTGTTAAGACATGCTATTTGTAAGCAAATTTATATGAAAAGTATGCAATGTCTAATACTAAACTACTCCAGCCCCAGACTGAAGGGTGATTTTACAAACGTCCTGCAGCACTCAATCATTCCTTCATTTTAATGTCTTTATTTTATGATTTTGTTGATGAAATACTACTTACCCAGTGCTCAAAATTCCTTTTAGGCTGCAGGCACTGGCTAGTTGACACGGCAAGCCATATTTTACAGCTATATATTTCAGCTTTCTCTGTCCAAGTTGGAGGACACAGTAGCCAAGATGGTTTTTCATAGTAGAAATATATTTTCATATTTATTTATTGATTTGACTAATGTATCTATTTTTCAATTCACATGCTTATGTTTCAATCCATTAAAGTGATTCATGGTCAAATAATATGTTATTGCAAGTACAAAGAGGAGATAAAACCACTGTACACTGGCTATAACACAAGAATAAAAATAATAAAAATCCATTGCCTGATTAAATATAGTTTTTAATCCCCACATGATCATGAGTAAACTGATGTTTTTAATTATTTTTCTTTAAAATAAGTTAGGGTTTTTTTCTCAGTAAAATGCAATTACCTATTAAATAAGTTCTCAGGAATAAATATTCTTACCCAGCCTAAGTGCTCAGTGTAAAACTAACATAAAGCATCAAATTATTAGCAAAATAAAAAAACTCAAAAGGCTTTTAATTAGTTAAAAGGAGAATTAAATGGCAACTGGTAGAGGAATGCTGAACATGTCACCTCTGGGGCAGGGCTGGAGGAGAGTTTGGAATGGAATTGCAGCTGGGATGGCTGGTGGCTGCTCAGTATCACACCTGATATTGCTGGGCCTGGTCCAGGGTTTTGGAGCCAGACAAAAAACTCCACAAAAAAGGCAAAGAAACCCATTCATCAGGAGGGGCAGTGCCCAGGCCCAGGTGTGGGACATCTACAGCCTCCAGCTCAGGTATCTACCTTGTCCTTGTACTGCTGGGAGATTTTTCTTGCTGTTTTTTCAACAAAACCTGCCTTTTCTCCTGTTCTTCAGTCCTGAACTAAGAAACTTAATGGGAAGCAAAGCCAAAGCCAGAAGAGGCCTTGAGGACCGGCCAGAGAGTGATTCTGGCTCTTTCAACCATGGTGAGCACTCCTGATGCTCAGGCACAGGAGCCAAGCTCAGCTGTGGGATCACAGAATCGTGGAATCACAGACTGGTTTGGGTTGGAAGGGATCTTAAAGCCCATCTTGTTCCACCCCCTACCATGGGCAGGGACACCTTTCATTAGCCCATGTTGCTTC